CAAGCAGAAGCAAAGTCCTAGGGAACATAGGCCCTAGGCTCATAACCCAGGTACAGTCTCAAGATTCCTCTGGATTCAAGCAGCAAGACCACTGAGGTCTCCAGTCTTGACGTCTGATCAGGCGGCTCTCAGCTTGGTGGACTGGCTTCTCAGGCGGAGGAGAGCTCACACATCCATGGTGGGCTCTGTTTCTCAGGCCTGAGCTGGTTCTTATATACCATGCTTATCACGCTCTGCCACACAAGCACACTCCCATTCATTCTGGTCTCTAGTTGTCGGGTAATGGGCCTATGCTCACTTTCCTCATCTCCTTCCAGCCAGGCTTCTGCCTGTCTGTTTACATGCTCCTTACAACCATTCACAATTGTCTAGGTCACCACTGTCCTCCGCTTACCACACCTTGGGATCGCTGCATGCATTTGGGCCATGTGTGGACTATAAATAGGCTTTGGCTAAATACTTGTGCACTTCAGTGGACTGAATCCTCCTGGGATTAAGAATTTGTTGTGTCACACTTTAGCTAATCACTTAACTAAGGGGTTAGAAATAGGGAAACCTTTCTATATTCCATGTGTTGAAGATCAAAGAATGGGACTACACGAGATTAGGTTATCCGACAGGTAAGTCACACCTGGAAATCTGATCAGAATTCTTAGACAGTTACATAAATTAATAATTATTATTTCTCCTGAAATAAAATATAAATTAATATAGAGTGTGATCAACTGGCTATTAATATTGGTATATTTGTATGATTCTGGTCAACATTCTGTTGCAGTTTCCTTGGCAACAGAAATAATGCCTGGAGTGCTTTTATGTTTATTTTTAGCATCAATTATGAATTTCAGGGAAAAAATCGTAGCTTAAACACATTCTCATTAAATTTATGCATCTAGTACTCGTTACTTAGTAAAAATAGCACTAGTATATGTCACCTTTCCAAAGTCAACTTTGTATTCTTCAGACTCTCATTCCATTGTTACAGAAAATGAGCAAAACCAAGTTAGTGGAGGCTCAGTGGACCTTCCCGTGCTCCACCACCATCCACCTCTGACTGGTCTCCTCAATTTTTCTTCCAGTCATGTTTTGGCTTCCCTTTCTCACAGAAAACTGCCTCCTTGCTTGGCTTGGTCAAAATCCAACTGAGAATCCTTCTGAGAGCTCCCCCATCTGGCCTTAGTCTATGTTAGCATCAAAGGTTGTGATGAGATTTAAAGCTTCCTTGCAAAGATAAAGATAAATAATGCATTACAGTGAGGTTCATGACAGCAGCATCAGATTACTTTTGTAAATGTCAGTGGAAGGTGATAACGAAAGAACATATTGGGTACCGGCAAGACAAAGGCACCGAGGCCTCACATGTTTGTCACAGGAACTTGATAATGTCTATGGGAGAAGATGAACGAGCACTCTCTCAAAAGGTGGATGAGTGCTGGTCATGAATTGAGATTTCACAGCTATTTAAATTGTCTGCTTTTCTTTGCTTTTGACCTGTAGAGTCTCTTTTGTTGTATGGTAGCTCAGGACAGCGAATATCTGAAGCATGTTTAATGAAGCTAGTTTTTCTAAGATGGCACGAGAGCATATATGTGGTTTTTTCCTCATCAGATGTGAACACTTTCAGAGTCAGCGTCCCTCTAGAACCAGGGAATCCAGTCCAATGAGTTTAGATAGTTAACCAGCTTTACTGTGCCTCCATTTCTTCCTTTGTGAGATAAGAATATCTATATCGCTGAGTTGTCAAGATAAAGTTAATATTTAAAAGGATCTGGGGTGGCATCAACCAAATACAAAGTATTTTGTAATGATTTATTAAAGATATAAATTTTCTGTGAGTTCGAGGCTGGGCTGGACTGACAGCCTCGAAAACAATACAGAGAAACCCTGTCTCGTAAAAACCAAAAAAAAATATATATATATATATATAAAATTTCAAACTACAACAAAAAAATGGTTGTTATGGTGTAAATGAAAATAGCCCCTATAAGTATATATATATATATATATATATATATATATATATATATGCATGTTTAGTTCCCACTTGGAGAACTACTTGAGAAAGATTTGAAGGGTTAGGAGATGTGGCCTTGTTGGAGGTTTGACATCCTATAAAAGGAATAGGTCTGAGGGGTTTTTTAGGCATAAACCACAAGAGAGAGTTGATGCCAATGTAATTCAAGTTCCAGCCCCAGCAAACAGAAAGAACTCGACAGATTTGGCCACATGGTTTGTCCTTTATAGGACGAATACATGCTATGGCTCTTAGCATGGTGTTCTTGTGGGACCCTCAACAGTGAGACTAGGTGTGTCTGACTCACCTGCTCTTGAGACTCTTTTTCTCCTATTGGGTTGCTTTGTTCAACTTTGATATAAAGGCTTCTTCCTGGTCTTATTGTACCTTGTTTTGTCATGTTTGGGTGTTGTCTCTTGGAGGCCTGCTCTTTTCTGAAGGGAAATGGAGGGGGAGTCAATCTAGAGGAGAAGGGAGATGGGAGGAGGAGCTGGGAGGAGAGGAGGGAGGGGAACTTGTGGTCGGGATGTATTGTATGAGATAAGAATCAATTTTCAAGAGTGATAAAAAAGAAACAGAAAAGGGAAGAATACAGGAGAAGTAAAGGGGCCCTCCTCTGTGGTTAAAGGAAGGCACTGAGCCAGGCATGTGACCAGGGAGTCACTGCATGCATGGAGGGCATGAGGCCATTTCATGAAGCTGTGAAGGTGAAGCCTGGATTGCGTTAGAGACTCCAAGATGTCGAAGATGCCAAACTGTGGGATAACTGCCAAGGAGAGATGTCGACCAGGAGTGGAGCACAAGAGAGAGAAGCATGGTTCAATCAACAAAGCTGAAAGAAGTTGGGGGGGGCGGGGTGTCAACAACACTTTGACGTCAGACATGGAAATGCGGATGTGGAGTTTGTGCTGCCAGGCTTCAGTCTTCTTTGGTTCAGCATTTCCTTGCTCTACTTTGTTTCTTCACCTTTGGGATGGCAATGTATGTTCTGTGTCATTGTATGTTGTTGGACGTATGTGATCTGCTTTTTGATGTTTGCTTTTTGGGGAAAGGATGTTACAATTAAAAGATTATGATGAGTCTTAGAAGAGACTTTTGACTATGGACTTTAAGCAGTCTTGAGACTGTGAAACTATGGGGCTTTTGAAGTTGGCTACAAGCCGATGGATGTGGTGAAGTGGAATGTGAGGATTTGGATTAGAACAGCCACCACAGGCTCATCATCCACTGTTTGAGAAGCATTAAAGGACCAGAAGGTGGGGCCTTTGGGAGAAGGTGTGTCATCACTGGGGGTGGGCTCCACCGAGGTTTTAAAAGCCCTCGCCAGGCTGTCTCTCTCAAACTCTCTTCCTGCCTGCTGTCCATGGATCAGGATGTAGAGCTCCCAGCTATTGCTCCAGTGCCATGCCTGTCTGCTTCCCACCATGATGATCATGAACTAATCCTCTGAAACCATAAGCAAGTCCCCAATTAAATGCTTTCTCTTATAGGAGTTCCCTTGGTTATGGAGTCTCCTCAATTAAATGGTACTGGGAGATGAGGCTTTCAAGAGGTATTTAGATTAGAAGGGGAATGAGCTCGCTTTTGTCTTTCCGGCTCTTCTGTCCTGTGAAGAACAGAGTCAACCTGCTCAATAAACTCTTAACCTTGGACTTTGAAGAACTATGAGAAATGCATATTTTGTTCATTGTAATGACTTATCTGGCAAATGGTATTCTATTGTAGCAGCAAAGGTAGATTGGAAGCATAGAATCACAGGAAGAAAACTGTTAATTGTGGCAAAGGACTATCAGCAGCCACACCAGTGCATCAAATGTCTGACGTAGTCAGTCAGCCAACAGCGAGAAGGGTCATGTACCTGACATGCAGCTTTATCCTGGGATTAAAAAAATAAAACAAACTTAGTTTCATAGGTCTGAAGCATCAAAAATATAAAATCCCTGTGTTGTACATCTCCCCCTTCTGGACATGGGATGACCATTACACCATTAATACACTGGCTTTTGTTTTCTGCACAGAATGTTGTTCAAGATTGGGCCATTGAATCATATACTGAGGGGGAAGGGGGCAGTGTGAGGCCCACTCCTACCAGAGGCATCACAGGCAGTTCATTCTTGTTTACGGAAGGAATCTCACTTTCTTCAGTGGTATAGCCCTGGTGTAACTCCACTGGATAACTCCCCATGAATGCTTGGCCAAATAACTGGACTTCAACAAATCAGGCAACACACAAAAAGAAGACATGAGAACAGAAAGGGACTTGTTGAGAAGAAGGGTGCCAATGGGAGAGGGGAGGAGGGTGAAAGAGAAAAACGGGATAGAAATGATTGAAGGCTATTACGTAAAGGCATAGAACAGTAAACAACTAAAAGCAAGGAAAAATCCATGTCCTTAAAGAAGAATAACTTTAATTTGTCAACATTTAAAAATTAATCATGGAGAGCCTGGAGAGATATCTCAGCAGTTAAGAGCACTGGCTGTTCTTCCAGAGGACTGGGGTTCAATTCCCAGCACCTACACAGCAGCTCACAACTGTCTGTAACTCCAGTTCCAGGGTACCAACACCCTCATATAGACATATATATTGGCAAAATATCAATGAACATGAATTAAATTTTTTAATAATTAATCATGAAAATGAACTGATATAAGGAAATATGGAATGGTATTTAAATGAAAGACTTAGAATATTTGGACAAGCAATTGTAAAATGCTTAGAATTTTAAAAATGTCTAGTCTAAATGCTTATTAGAGTATTTGAAAGATATTGTTAATATTCAGGCATCTGTATTGGCCTGCCCTTGGGGTTCTGACAGGACCCTCCTCAGCTGCAGCCACTAAGAGCACCACATGGGCACATTCGTTAAGTTCCCTTTTAAAAAGGACCTGCCCACCTTCCATCTCTCTCTCTCTCTCTCTCTCTCTCTCTCTCTCTCTCTCTCTCTCTCTCTCTCTCATTTTTATAATTATAACAGATAACAACAAATTATTATATGTGTGTTTATTAATTTTTAATTTTATTTGTGTATATGTGTGTCTGAATGTATGCAGCTACCCACCAAGGCCAGTAGAAAGCATGGGGTCCTGTGAAATTGGAATTAAATGTGGTTGGAGCTGCCTGCTTGTGGGTGCTGGAAACCAAATCTGGGCCTTCTGCAAGAACAGCCAATGTTTTCTAACTACTGAGTCATCTTTCAGGCTCCCTTATGTTGTATTTTAACATTCAGACAATATGTTTTTTATTTTCATTTACTTTTATTTATTTGCCTATTTTTTCTGACTTTAGTGTTCTATAAATTTATTCATTTTAAAAAATCTTTGGATGAATGTATTTGGCAAGTCTACATATATAATATCATTTAATTAACAAAATATTGTTAAATTTCATTTTATTAACATTTTACTGTTAAAGTATTTCTAGTTTTGAAATTAAATATATGGTTGAGGGGTTGTCCTTCTGTGTATCTGTTTCTCTTATTGGTTGATGAATAAAAAAAACACTGTGTGGCTAGTGGTCAGGCAGGAAAGATAGGCTGGGCTATTAGAGGAGGAGTATTCTGGGAAGTGTAGGCAGACAAGAGTCATCATGTAGAGCCTGGGAAGAGAGCATGTGCAAGGCGTTCTCTGGTAAGTCATGACCATGTGGAAATACATAGATTAATAGAAATAGGCTAAGAGTTACGACAGAGCTAGCCAATAAGAAGCCCTAGTCATGGGTCAACAGTTTTATAATTAATATAAGTCTCTGAGTGTTCATTCAGAGCTCAAGGATGGCAGAACCTTGCTGGGCCAGAAACATGCATGCTACATATGGTCACCTTAATGGCAACAATAACAACAAAAGACAAAAACATCCTTTGAATGTCCATATTCTATTACAGTGGATATGCGGCCATATTTGGTGTGGTTACAAATCTAGGCAGCAATGTCTATAAACTGGGTGATTTCAGAGTCAGGGAGCTGCTCAATTGGTCTTATCTCATTAGTGTAATAAAAAATGGTCCCTTATCATGGTTATTTAAGAGAGCCACACAGACAGTTAATTTAGCAACTATGATTTGTTTCCACAGTTTATGGCCCCAAACAGGGCATTTTCTAAGATTGAAGACAAGCAGTTAGGAGATTGGCTACTACCCAAGAACAATAAAAATATGAGATTCATCAAGGGGACTATTGTCCATAAATGTGAGCATAGAACTAAGTTCCAGATACTCAATGGAGAAATTATGTCTGTTATGGTTCAGCCTCATAGCTGAAGCATTTCAGCTGAGCCAAACCATCAGTAAGCCAGGCAGGTCCTACAGGCACTTAGCTGGTTATGAAAACAGACCACAGCTATTCATATATTACCTCCACAGACATAATATTTTGGAACTGACTGCCTATGTAAAAAATGATAGTGCATACTTTCAGTTATGTAAATTCCATACGAAGTTAAAAGTGGGCTGTTGTGTTTAGGAACACACATTTAGACAGTATAAGCATTCTTGTGTTTCCTATTTGAGTTGTTAGTTACCTTTGAGAGGCCGAAGTGTGACAAGGAGGGGCAGTCCTCTGTTAAAATGCACACTTGTTTAATGAATTTTTGATTTGTTGGCTTTCATAGTTACTATAAAAATGGAAATAAGTTCATTAGCATGTCAACACAAAGGAGTTGGAATCCAAAATCAAGTTTGTTTGTTGTTATTAATTATACAAGGAAAGCAAACAATCAAAATCCTTCAGCAAAAATAATTTTTCCAATTTCCTGTTCTGCTCAGCCTCCATGAGAGACACTCTTAGGGATTGATTACAGTTGAAGTCTCATTGAAATTGTAATTCCAATGCACTAGAGGCAACACATCCATCTCAACACACATTTTCATATGAATGAAGTATCTTTGGAGCATCCAGAGTTCAGCTGCAGGAGCTAGACAGATGACTCAGTAGTAAGAGTACCTGTTGCTCTTACAGAGATCCCAGGCTGGTTCCAGGTTACACATATTAGCTCAGGATCACTGTGACTCCAGTTTGAGGGGAATCCGCCTTCTGTGGAGATGAGGTGACCGCACAGTGCACATACATACATACATGCAGGCACACAGACACACAGAAAATAAATCTTGTTTCAACATCAAATTTGAGTCCCAAGTCCTTGGTAGTTTTCACTTCCTGAGGAGTTCAAAAACAACCTCCTCTTTGAGAGAAAAGTGTTGTGATGGGCATTTTGTAACAAATATGCTAACACAGTTGAGGCATTTTTAGTCGTCAGGTCTTACTTTGAGCTTGGTCCTTTCCATCCAGCTAAACATCATCGCTTCCTCTTCCCTTTGGGCCTCCTGCTTCTGCTGCAGCTTTGTGTGTGAGCTCGACAATCTGGTAGACACAGGAGTTGTGCATATCAGTTAATGAAGTAGCAACAAGTGGAGCCTCACAGAATGCCTCCAGTAAACTCATGAACTGCAGCTGAGCTAGCAGCCTGGCTGTGGCATTCATGACCACTATGCCACTTCTAAGACGCTCGGTTCCTGGAGTGTCTTTATGTTTGATTCTTGGGATAAGACATAGAAGATCAAAGTTTTTGTTTGAGAGTACTGCCTCAACTTGTATTTGTATTAATGCCTCGTGGAACGGACCAATGGAGTGATTGTTAATATTACATGGGGATTTATCAGATTGGCTTACAGGATGTGGTTCAGATAGAGAATCGTGAATTTTCAGTTCCAGAGGCTAGATGTCTTACCAGTCCCGATCTGCCACTGGAATCCCAGAGAGCCACTTGTCTTCAGTCTCCTTGGAATGAAAAAGAAGTGGTAACAAATAGATGAATTTTCAGGGAAAGTGAGGGCAAGCAGGCAAAAAGCAGTATTTTCTTTTTTCATGTCATTTATTTTTCTTGACTGCTACAGGAGTAGCAGTGGTCCTTCCTGATTCAAATGATCTGATGACAAAAGGCCCTCCCAGGAATGGACAGCAGCTTGGGTTTTAGTTGATTTGAGGTGTAGAGAAGTTGACAACAAAGATTAGCTCTCATATACTTAAAAGTAGAACTTAGGCCATTTTGATTTTAGGTTTAGAATCTAAAAGTGTTTGGTAGTAGCATCAGCTATCAGTTGTCATGCATTGTAAAAGCAACTGTACATCCTGTCTCCTAATATCTGAAAGACCAATAGATAGGAAGACCTGTGTGTCTGACAGATGCTATCCAGTTCTTGTCATAGTCACATCTGTTGCTACCTGTAGCTAAGATAGTGCATACGGCGGTCATTCAGCAATAGCCTGTGTCCCAAGACATCACTCTTGTTGATGACCTTGTATCTTCCTTCAGAAAGATGATGCCCAAGAGCTACTTGTTGAGAACCCCTCACATGAGCCATACTATCTTCACGAAGAGCAGCCACTAGCCTGTGGACACTCAGAGTGACCATTATTTGCACACAAAAACTTCAATCAGGTCAGAGCAATTTAAAACCAACTGAACCATGGTGAAGAGCTGACAAGCATAATTAAATCCTTTCAGACCATCAATCAGAGTGGCAGCATGATTTTGGTGAATATATATCCTGTTTGCCTTTAGGAGTTCTTGTCATTAATAAAATGCTATCAAAATGTTAACATTTTAATAATAATGGATTTGGATTTTAGAGAACACAGCACATTGCAAAGAAAGTGATAAAATAATGGGGAAATGCCCCCATTGCTATTGTGTAGATTCAAACAGACCCTTCTGCTACTGAAGATGGCAGCAGGCAACTCTATTCCGGAAACTTTTTTTTTTTGGCAAATAAAATAAAAGGACTGATGTCAGTCAAATTGCTTTTAAAATCATGTAAATACAGAAATCAACTCCAGAAACAAAATCAAACATGAACTCTAGAATCTGGGCTAGCAGAACTGCTCCACCACATGTCCCATGCAAAGCTCCTTGTCAGGCTGGTTTTACTTGGACCATTCAAAGATCTAAAAACAATCCAAATAATTTAAAAATAAAATATCATGCTATGATTACACTGGTATGAAAACAAATCCAAGCAGGATTACATGCATTTCTTCTTTTTATTCTTCAAAAGTTGAAGAAATGAAAACATTTCTGTGCATCCCCAAACTGTTCTTCAGACTCAGCCTCTAAGCTTACTATGATTATAGGCTGTCAGATCTGGTACAGGTTCTGTACGCTGTCTCCACACATGAAAGTCTTCGACCTATGCTCAGGCTTGGTAAGCTCCCACTAGGATAAATACTTGATCACTTATTTCTCAATGATCTTGGCCAATATAACAAAATAATGAAGTCTTGAAGGAAGCCAACTACGAACATCTTTATCTGTCCTCAGAAAGATGAAAAATTGAAAATAAGGATAAAAATATCATGTTTGCCACCAATTGAACATAATGGGCCCTTGTGGTGGTTTGAATGAAAATGTCCCTTCCCCCATAGGCTCACAGGGAGTAGCACTATTGGGAGGTGTGGTCTTTTTGGAGTAGGAATGGCCATGTTGAAGGAAGTGTCACTGTGGTGTGCTTTGGGGTTTTTCTTGTGGCTTACTGATCTGAATACAGAACTCTCAGCGGCCTCTCCACACATACATCCAGAGGACCTGGCTCAGACCCATACATAATTCAAGGTTTTTGCTTTAGTTTCTGTGATCCACTGAGTCTACTTAGGTTCTGTGGGCTGTGTTCTTGAGGTGTACCCTTCTGACTCCTACAATCTTTCCTCCTTCTCTTCTGCAGAGTTCCCCTGGCTAAGTCATACAGACATTGCCTCTGAAATGCTCCTCTGATCCATTTCCTTTCTTTTCTGTCCCACGGCTATCATCCTCATTGTTCCCTTGTTATGCATATTTTACAAGAGTACTTGATGCTTCTCATAGTATGTAATGCCCTTAAAATAAATCTCAGGCATCATAGACAGTTTTTTTTTTCATCTTCTAAAAATTAGGCTTACAGAGTTGGGTAATAGTAGCAGTGCATGCCTTTAATCCCAGCATCTGGAGGCAGAGACAGGCAGATCTCTGTGAGTTCAAGTCCAAGCCTGGTTTACAGAGCCAGTTACAGGAAAAGTTTTAAGATTATAATATAATTACAACATTTATCCCTCCCAAATCCTACCATATACCTCTCCTTACTCTCTTTGAAACTCATGGCCTATTTTTCCTTCATTATTATCACATGTATACATGTTTATGTCTAGACATATATTTCTAAATATAATCTGCTCAGTCCATATAATGCTCTTGTATGCATGATTCCAGAGTTGGCGTTAATTACCAGGTAACCAAGTAGTGTGCTCTTCCCTGGGGAAGACTATTTCTCCTGCTCCCAGTATTCCTCAGTTGCCTGCAGTTCTTGTGTAGGGTTGAGGCCTCATGGGCTTTCTCCTTTCCACTTTGTCATGTCCAGGCGTCGGCCTTGTTCACCTCATATTTGGTCGGTCATGTGGTAAGACATTATGGTGCAGCTTCTGACATTACTAGGAGACACAATCTCACAGCAAACTCCCTGATCTTATAGCCCTCACTATTGTTCCTTCAACTCTTCTGCAACCCTGAGCCTTAGGAGATGAAGTGTTTTGTAGATGAATGCATTGGGATGAAGCTCCAAAACTTTATCTTTTGATTGGTGGTGGTTTTCTGTAGTGGTCTCCTTTGCAAAGAGAAGCTTCCTTGCTGAGGAACGAAGACTACAATTATCTGTGGGTTAGAGGACAGATATTTATAGACTGTTGTTAAGGATTCTGCTGGCTTTCTAAAGTAGTGGACATAGGTCCTTTTTCCAATATTTATTACTCATATTCATAATCCATAACTGACTAGTTATCTAGGTTTCCAGTACCAGACATAGTTTCCACCTTATTGAGATGGTCTTAAGTTCAATTAGAAAGCTGATGTTATACCAAGGCTATTGTGTCACTATTGCAACCTTAGGGTTACTCTGCCAGGCTGGCCACTGATCTGGTTCATTGGTGCCATAACTACTTAGATCGTTGGTTGTCTCCTACCTCTGAAGCTAGCGTGGTATCATGATAGTTCTCAGGGAGGAGGAATTCAGATGAGTTCCTGCTCAGGGGTTTCTGGGACCTCTTTCTGAAGTGCATGGTGTGTTCAACAATACAAATCGACCTTCCATCTCTGAAGGTCAACCAAGGGCAACAATGATAGCCTGTGTGTTTTGGGAGTCTCCTGGAAAACTCTGGCCAGCAATTCAAAAAAGCATTTTTGATAGGCAGTCTTTGGATCTTGAAGAGAGCATTGTCAGCCCAGATGAGGAAGGTTCATTAAATCTACACATGTATATTAATACACTGAATTGCATGCATTATAGGTTTTTCTTTATGTAGTTAATAGTATGATTATTTTCCTCCTTTTTAGACATCCTTTTTCATATTTTACCCTTCCCCCTTCTTCTTGCATATATCTCCTTACCCTTTCCTAAAATGCACCCCTTTCCCATTTAGCCTCTCAGGTCACTTGTACCCTGCCATTTCCTTTACCTCCTCCTACCTTTTTCTGTATTCACTCCCGCCTTCTCCCTAAGAGACCCCCTTTTTGCGTATCCCTGACCAGACTGCTTGAACTCTGTTAGTTCTCTCTCTATTACTCCCAAACCCCCATCCTTTCAATAGTCCTATTTTACTTTCTTGGTTTCTGCAGTTACTATAAGCTACATATTCATTTCTGAAAATAAGGAGGTAGGAGTCTCCAATGAGAGAAAACATGGGAGGTTTGTCTTTCGTGACTCTGGGTTACCTTACTAAATATGATGTTTTAGTTTCATCCATTTACCTGAAAAGTGCATGATTTCACTTTTCTTTACAGCTGAGTACTATTCGTGGGCAGGTTGTTTATAATAGGCCATTACCTTCCCAGGTTTACTTGAGCCTATTGTTTTACATGTACTAGTTTAGTTGGAGCACAATATTGAGTGTGCCTCCAATATATCTGTACTTGTTCGGTATGTTTTGTAGCATTTATCGTGGCCCTCATCATTTGCCACAACAGGCATCCTTTCTCTGTGTCACTCTATAACAACAATATAAAGGCTTTAACATTTTTGCATGTAGGTTTGTTCCACCTCACCACATAAACAGCGTCTTTAAGTCTATAGCTCTATGTAGCATTTCTCAGTATTTATGCCTGTTTTTGTAATTTAGACTGTTGGTTTGATTTTGGTAACTTTATTATAACCTTCAGTGGGGGTAGAAAGTGATCAATATACATTTGTATGTCACTTGAAGCACAGTAAGTATTTAGTTGAACCTTGCTTTATTGATAAAGTGTGGCTACTTGGGAGAGTAAAAAAAAATCAAGGTTTTAATACAACTAAAGAACTTTCAGATTATAATTACTACACATTTCATTTCTTGGCTCCATTCCATTTGAGACTAGATTTGTTGGTGCTACATTCTCCATCTAAGGCCTGGAACTAATTGTTCCTGCTACGGGCTAGACAATGCTTAAAGATGCTGCCTGAAATTATTGAATGGTAAGGACTGAAAGGAGTTCAACCAATATCAGTTTCTCATTGACACCTTTCACGGTCTACAACATGTTCTTTACTTATTTTGGTTATGTGAAAATCTTTGGAATTGCGGTATAAACACATATAACGTAAGCAGAACTTCCATTCTCTGTTGGAAGCAAAGCAACAGGAATTAGACTAAGTCTGGGTGGCCTACAGCCTAGGTGCAAAGTCAGTGCTCCTCTCTGCTATTTAGGGACTTGAAAAACTTCACCTTTCCCCTTTATAAAAAAGTAATTTATCAGCCTTGATAGAGGGGAGCTAGGACCACGCGTCCTGAAAGTGAATGTCACAACAAGTATAGGAAAGGAGCCGCAGTCCCGCAAAACACAACCGAAGGCAAAGTTTCAAACGGCTGCACCCCGCCAACCCGGGCCGGAACCCAGGAAGAAGCGAGCCCTGGAGGGCGGGTCTCTCGTGGCCACACCCAACCCCAGTGCTTACTACGGATTGGCGGACTGACCGAGGGCACCGCCCCCTCCAGCGCGCGTGCCCTGCAGCGGGGTGGGTGTGTCCCAGTGAGTGTGAGCGTGCGCGCTCCAGGCGGAGGGCCGGAAAGGGGGTGGGGCGGCGGCGCGCGCTCCGGGAACGTGCGCACCGGGTGCGCGGGGTGGGAGGGACTGGTGTGCTCGGCCGGCCGCAGGAAGCGGAGCCTGGGGACCGGCTGTCGGATACCGGGGTGCGCCCCCGAGGGGAGGTCGTCGCGATGAACACCGTCCTGTCGCGCGCGAACTCGCTGTTCGCCTTCTCGCTGAGCGTGATGGCGGCGCTCACCTTCGGCTGCTTCATCACCACCGCCTTCAAAGACAGGAGCGTCCCGGTGCGGCTGCACGTCTCGCGGATCATGCTGTGAGTGCAGCCCGGCGGGTGGGGTGAGGGTGTGTGCGCCGTCCCCGCCCTGCGCCGCGGGTCCCCCCACCCCGGGGGGGGGCACGTGGCCCCGGCGGCCTTCGGACCCCCCCCCAGCCCTCCGCGGTCAGCTCCCGGGCGGCCCGGCTCAGCTCTCCGCTTCCTTCCTGTTCCTCCCGTCCCCGCAGCCACCCTGGCCAATGAGCGAGCAACACACCAGCACACCCACGCCCGCGCTTCCGCCCGGCTCCTCCCCTCCCTGGGGGCCTGCGAGCGCGCGTGGGGACCCGCGGTGTCAGCCCACCCCGGGGCTCAGCGGGTGGCCCTGGTATCGCGGCCCCTCCACCGTTGGTCCTTTTTGACAGTCCATTTGCAGGCTTTGCCTTTGCTCCCTCTGGACACAGCGCCACTGCCTTGAAGTTAGCGTGCCCATGTGGGCAGGGTGCACTGGGGCGGTTTGAGCACCCTAGCCTGCGAATACAGCGCTTTCCTGTTGTTTTTGTTGTGGTTCCCTTAGCCAGCAACCTGCATCAGCCTTTGGAGACACTAAAAATAGAATTTCAGAGCGGCTGCCCTTCGCGTACTGCTTGTTGTATTTATAGCATTTCTCTCTGTTCCCTGTCACTTTTGCATTCAATACAGTGGTTTTAGTTCTTGTTTGCCCTGAGAGGTCTTCTTTAGTCTTATTTTGTTAGTCAGAATCGCAACTGCCCCCACTTTGTCCACTGCAACTGCTGCATCTTTTGGTTTCTAAGTTGCCCTATATTGATTCTTGTTAAATACTGTTTACGATTTCAATATATGTGACTTAGATACCAGCCCCCGCCATGACTTCCAGTTCTGCGAGGGCCTAGATGAACTTGAAGCGAATTAAACGTTGATGTGACCTTAAACGGCTTTCTTGCTCTTGTGCTTGTTTACTTTTGTTGACAGCAGAGAAGGTAACTGGAAGGATTGTTGTGCTGATATAAGATAGTTGTGGGAAATACATGGTGGCTCTCTGACATATGGAACACTCATAAACATATGCTGTTTTCCGAGTCACCTTATGGCCACACGAAGCCTCATTCACTCTTTTTACCTGCTCTCCATGAAGTATTTGCGTTCTCCTTTTAATTTTATTTTTTTTACCCTCCCTTGGGTTTTCTCAGAGGTTCTCTTAAGGCATATTAAAATAGCTGACTACCTTCTTTTATACTTGAATTATAATACTTACTTACACACTTACAGTTTCTTTAACTTTACTCATTTCTTTGTGAAATTTCTGTTTTACTGATGCACACATCTAGCCGTTGCTGGTTTAAATTGCGTAAATTTTGTGTGATGCCACGAGGGATGGTGAAACTTTTATTTTTACTTCCAGAAAAAATGTAGAAGACTTCACTGGCCCGAGAGAAAGAAGTGACCTGGGATTCATCACATTTGATATAACTGCTGATATCCTTCAACAAAAATAATTTGTTCTTTTTTCTTCTGTAGTTTTGAAATGAGATGCAAGTGTAGAAATTAGATGAAGAGTGAGTATGAACATCGACTCTACCACATTTTCATCAGTAAAAATAGTGTTGATATTTCCTTGTTCACACTTTAAGGAAACTTGGGACTCCTAAGTTAAGGAAACGTGGGACTCCTGAGTTAATTGTGTGAACATAGCTTAAACTCTTCATTAATTTGGATCTAGGAATGAAAAGATAACATATGATTTTGGTTAAAGAAGAGCTCAGCCCAGCCTGCCTAGCAATAGTTCATTTTCAGCCCCACATAATTCTCCATCTCTTACAAAACAAACAAACAAAAAACCCTTAAGTTGCTGGGCGGTGGTGGCACACTACTTTAATCCCAGCACTTGGAGGCAGAGGCAGTCGGATCTCTTGAATTCGAGGCCAACTTGATCTACAGAGAGAGTTCCAGGACAGCCAGGGCTGATCGACAGAGAAGCCCAGTCTCAAAAACCAAACAACAAAACAAAACCCCGTATGTTTAAAAAGAATTGCATCTGTGGTGGTTCAGAACACCTTTTATCCAGGAGATAGTGCTGCATTATGTCATCCTTAGAGTCAGAAATCTTAATGAAGCCTCACTGATGAGTTGTTTTCTCTGTATCTTCAGAGCTGATCATCTTAGCAACTTTAGTCTTCCTTAGGTCACAGGTTAGAATCCTGAAAGTGTATCATCATCATCATCTTCTTCAAGCATATGTTAACAGGTTTACCTGCTATTCATCCTGAAACTATTTGCAATTTTTGTGCAACAAATTACAGGATTCAGTTACAGAGTAGGAATTAGTTTTAAATGCTAGTGTTTCCTCTTAGCAAAGAATCCCACACAATAAGACATCGTGATTTTTACTGACCTACAACCAAGTCAACTTGTGTAGGATGCTGTCCTTTGCTAATTAACTGATCTCTGTGCAAATGTGCCTGTTCCTTCTTTGCATAGTGATGACTGGTTCTGCTTTAGACAGAATTAACGCTTCAGTTTCTTATGTTTATGTTTTTAAATAAACTTGCCAGCTAGTTATATTTAGAGGAACAGGGAGGATGGTAACCTGTCCTGACATACACCCTTTTTCAAATGTGCTAGATTTTTACAATATATTTATCGTGTGTTTCTCTCTTAAGTTATTGATTTGATTTTCTAGACTACCTGTTGTATTTTATGCTCATGTTGCTATGGATGTTTTAAGAATAAGATCTGTTTGAAAGTTGTATCCCGCTTTGCAATCTTTAGAGTCCTTAATTTGTTTACATCTAGAGAACATATTTGATTGGAATGTTAAACAGTTATTTCTTTATTTGTCAGCAGAGTATTCAACAAAAAATAATGTAAGTATTTCTCTAAGTATATTATAATAGTTTCTTTCTAAACATTACTTCTTATGAAAGAACATAGTTTATTAAAAATGACCTGTCAGGAAGTCAGTTCTCTCCTACCTTAAGGATTCAGGATTTGGACACACTGAGTCTTCTTACAGGTCCAAGAATAAAACACGTTTTATATATTCAAAGTACCTGCCCTGCATAGCTTAGTTAAAACAAACAAGCTTGGGAGACATGGTTCTGGTAAGAAAACTTTCTCCCCTGCACTAGCCCGTTGATACTGTGTGTGCACCTCGTAGCTCTCTAGCATTGTAGGACCCAGCAAAATACGCATGCTGCCTTACAGCAGAGTATTGTTTGATGGCCTTAGCTTCTCCTGTAATGCCACTATTGAAAGCACTGAACCGTTTAACACATCACATTGAGATGCAAAGAAACAAAACACTGCTTCTGTGTTGTTTTTGCCAAAGCAGTTCTGTAATTTGTAATTAAAAGTGGGTCTATATTTGATTTGACCTGTATTATTATTATTATTATTATTATTATTATTATTTATTGGCCTATATTGGTAGCATGCTAAACAGCATCATATACTAATTTTGGTACTACAGCTAAATTGGGAGTATATGCTTTATGCCAGGTATTTCACTGGGAATTGGGAATCCTGGGGAGAGCTTTAAAGCAACAAAATATGTCTTAAAGATAGCAGACAAAGCTCTCCTTCAAAACAAGAGTTTTGATATCTACATTTCAAGATTATCAAAATGTATTTTAAAAACAGGAAAAGTTATTCTTCAAAGTAATGAGTCACTACTATACATAGCACTATTCAGTGGGTATCAAAACTTACGAGGATCAGTGTTATTTTTATGATGAGTATATGTGAGTTGTATTTGTAATTCTGGTATCTCAAAAATCCAGTAAGATAACACTAATTTGGAATTAAATCCCTGCTTTGGTGAGTAATGGATATATTTCCATTCGTCCATCAAGCTCTTTGCTTACTTAGACTTTGAATTTGAAATGATAATATTTCTAATGAGTTATCTAAGTGACTTTGAATTTGACGTAGGCTCTGAACCAAGTCGTCCTCTGGGACAAGATCGTGTTGAGAGGTGATAATCCAAAGCTGCTTTTGAAAGATATGAAGACAAAGTATTTTTTCTTCGATGATGGAAATGGCCTCAAGTGAGTGACCCTTTGTCATTTTTAACGTTGTTAAGTAAGATTGGTAAGAGAAAGATGAACTGTATTTTTATTTTAAAGGAAAGTGTGTGCCTATTGTTCAGTGGTAGAGCACTTACTTGGCACGCACTAGGTGTGGTTTAACCCCCAATCAGGAAAGAAGGGAAGAGGGTAGAGCTAGGGACAGGAGATAAAAATAAGAGTAAAGCAGTCTGGGAGAGAAGTGCTGATGTTTTGAACTCATCTGAAAGACCGAGGAAAGACGAAAATTGTCATGTGGTGTAGTAATCACTTCTCTGCTGAAGCGAATGCAGGCATCACAGTAAAAGTCCACAGCTGTTAGGTTTGCTTGCTGTGACTGATCGAGCACCAGGAACAAATGAGCTGGAGAAGAAAGGCTTCATTTGGTTTACAGATTACAGTTCATCACCATGGACATGAACTGAAACAGAGACCGTGGAGGGATGCTACTTGTTAGCTGCCTCAGTTCGCTTTCTTACACACTCAGGACTACCTGCCCAGGGATGGTACCACCCACAGTAGGCTGTAACCTGCTGTCAATCATTAATCAGAAAAAGCCCCACCTGATGGGGGTCCTCAGTTGAGATTCCCTCTTCTGAGATGACTGTATCTTATGTCCTGCCGACAGAAAGCTAACACGTGCAGCAGCTTTTACTGTTGGGTGTACAGGGACACGGGCTTTCTCAGGAGGGGTGTGATGACACTGAAGGTACAGGTCTGCTTTCTGAACTCCATCAGGACAGCCTGCATGAGGAAATGATGTGCTGGGTCAGGGCAGATAGCTAGGTTTCTGGTTTTGATTCTCCAAATCAGAGTGCGTGACGGCCAAGATCTCAGGTCATGTTGACCTTTGTGTGGTGTATAAGAAAGGGTTTAGGAAAAGAGCTATTTTGACCTAAACATACCTTTGGACTTACAAATAAAGATTTTTAAACATGATCGATTTTGATCTGCTGGAGTTTGCACTTCTAAAGAATAGCAAAATTAGATTTCAAGTTATTGCCATCTGATTCCTAGCATGAGTCTCTTTTTCTCTTCCTTGTCTTTTATTCATGTAAATGTTTTTGTTGGTAATTAATTGCAGCTGTCAGTTTAGGTTGGTCGTTTAGGCTGCCTATCAATTTAGAGCTGGTGTCTTTCTGGGCTATCTGTGACTGTCAAATGTTATGAGGAAATTGTTCTGTTTTTGTCTATTAGAAATAGCTAGTTATAAAGGAAGTGTGTGGCCCCATAGTACTTGATTGGAAGTATTTTTATTAAATGAAAAGTTCTGCTAACCTTTGTTTTTGACATCTTTTTATAGGGGAAACAGCAATGTCACCTTGACGCTATCTTGGAATGTTGTACCAAATGCTGGAATTCTACCTCTGGTGACAGGATCAGGACATGTATCTGTCCCATTTCCAGATACATATGAAATAACGAAGAGTTATTAAATTATTCTGAATTTGAAACATATTTTTATACGTGATGAATTGCATCTCATCTTTCCCCTGTATCTTCATTTGTTTTTGGCTATATTTTTCTTTTTTCTTTCTGTTTTGGTATAAGAAAAGCTAACATCAAAAGACATAGTGGAAGTGAAAGGTCATGGGCTGCTTAAGCTTAGTTTGCAAACAAAACAAAAGTCTGCCAGAGAGGAGGAGTGGAATGAGGCTACCGCATAGGAAGAGCTTGTAGGCAGGGTACGTTTGAAGGCTTTCTTTTATTTGCATTGTCTTATGCAATATACAATGGGCATAAAGGGCTGTTACACTTCCAGGTGTCTATAGAGTCATAAGAATTCTGAATTATTTGTTTTGTTTTCGTGTAAGTTGATAGTGATTGTGACTTACACGTGAACACTCTATCTTTTAGTGAATGTTAGATTACTGGGAACGTTAATGTGGATCTTTGAAGTCCCACTTACAAAAGAGCAGAGTGGTAATTTTATTCCATTTGTTTTAGAAATCCCCAAAATACTTGTCTTCCTTAGGTGAATAGCAGCTTTCTCCAAAGACCAAGAACCTCTTTGTATGCTGTAAAATCTTGCAGGCTCATTTTAAAGTCTCAACTCAACCAAATGTGTGTCTTTTAGTGTTTCCAGAATGCTCTTTTGACTATCTCTGTATAAATTTTAAGCTTTGCCTTTGAAAGTTGAAAATGTTTGCATGGATTGCCTTCTTGAACTGGATTTGTCCCACTGAACATGCCTCTTTAATTAGCTACAGTTTTCTTAGCTCCATATTTTAACAGTTGGAATAGTAAAATTATTTGTGATGTTTATCCGTCTACAAAGTTCTCTCATTTGTTTGAATGTTGTCTTGAGTCATCCTAATGAGGTAGATGATGCAAATGTTAGCTTTGTAGGTGAAAAAATTGAAGCCCAGAAACTTACTGACTTGCACCCAAATTGGATAGTAAGTGGTAGAGTTTTCTGATACCTGGGCTTACACATTAACCCCATTCTCCTAATTTTATTGTAGTTTTTATTATTTTGCATTCCATCTAAGAATGATAGAGTGTGAAACTAATTTTCAGCAACCACCAACTTACACAATGATATTTTTGTCTGTGGCTATTCACTTTTACCCATATTAAAACTACTTGGGTTTGTAAAATAATTTAGAGATTAAATATGTTATGTATAATTAAATATATAGTTATATTTGACATGAATTTTTTTTGTTGCATGGATCAGGACCTTCAGCGTTACCAACTGCAAACTGCCTACTTAAATTCGTGAACAGACACTAGACACTGTAGGTCCCCCCAGCAGTAACCTTTGTCAAAGGGCTCTTTTCTAGCAGTAGCATAAATCAGTTAGCATTTGTTCTCTTTACCTCATGTGAAGTATATCACTGTTTAGTGGCATTCATTTCAACAGCTCTTGTATGTGGTGGTGCAGTTCTTACAAATGCATGTGCATGAGGTTTTCAAACCAGCAGTGAGGTCAGAGGTACAGCCCGAGTGTGGCACTGGCAGTTTCACTAAACATTTCAGGCTCTCTGTTTCCTTGCCTATAAAATGACCCTTTCCTCTGATATAAATCTGAAGTCTTTTCTGTTCAGCAGGTCATGAACAGGAAATCATGTTGCTTATCTGAAGTCAGGGAGGTGATGGAAAGATTATAGTTCCTAATGATCTGAGCTTCTGCTACATTTTACACCTGCAGAGTTGAGCTTTATGCATTGAACAGATACTAGACGTGTAAAATCTGCAAGCGTCAAGGCTGAGCATATCTGGGTGGATCCTGGTTAAAGAAGCCATTAGCAAACCTCCAGCATTAAAGCCAGATCTCAGGTCCTTTAATAGCTCACTGCATTTTGTAATGAGCTCCTCTGCTAGTCTAGTACAGGCAAACCAGAGCTGAAGGTTTTAGAATTACCATTTATTTGAAAAGCCCAATTTCAGGAATTTGGTGAGGAAACCCAGGAAAGCCCAGCTGGCACAATGTGACAAAGGCCTTCACTTTTACTGGACTCACATTGCTGCTTAGATACGGCTGCTCCACTGTGCCACTGGCCCTGTTTCTCAGGAACTCGGTTTCTTTCGTGTGTGCACAGCTGTGTTAGTTTGTATTAGTTCTCTGCCTTATGAGGCTCCTGTGCTGGATACGCATCTCTGGTCTCTGTTTTTGAGAAGTCTGATCAGGTCTCTACAGAGACTTCCGCTCTTAACAAACTAAGGTGATCTGTGAATAGTCTGCGCCCAGACCTGACTCTGGGAGGAGAGGATAATTGCAAGATACATAGTGGAGAGATTGCAGTTAGAAATGAACTTGAAATTGTAGCAGTGCATCCTTTGCGTCTCACCTAGAAACAGCTGCACCTGTGGGCTTCATGCCCATCCATTGCGTTTGGTGTCTTTATGCTGCGAGGAAAGCAGCAGCAGCAGGAACTGTTTAGATTGTAATAGGAAAATTGGTTGGTCTGAATGGCTTTTCTGGTAGTTACTTACCGTGGTCTGGCTAGTCAGTTCTCTGTGTGGAGAAGTGGGCTCCAAGGATCGAAAGCGTTGGGTGGGGCTGGTTCAGGTTAGTGGAGGGTTTGCTTTGTTACACTTTGAGTTAACCTGCAACAGATGTACAGAGCAGACTTTGTAGCTGTGAGCTTTGACTGTCAATAAACATCTGTCTATTTCAAAGGCTTCCCTGGCTTTTAGTAGCAAGCCTATGTACCTTTCTGTGAGACTGCCAGTGGGTCAACATTGTACATTTCAAAAAGCTATGCCATAGTTTTTATGCAATTTGGGAAGTTGTTTACTTAAATAATAAATTCACAAGAAAATAATCCATAAAAATGCAGAATATATATGTGAAGATTTTCTTAATTACAATAAATATTCAATGTTTTTATAATAAAATGAGTTTTTTTTCCGAGTGTGTTAAAGGTGTCCATATGTATAAGTTTCTTCAAAGCTGCTGAACTGAAAGGATACCCATTTGTAGTAGACATCAGGTTTTAGGAAGAAGTCTGCGGCCGCGCTTTGGGATTCATTAAACCCAGGATGTTCCGAGGGGCTGTGTACCCCAGTACTAGACCACACTCTTTGAGGGCATGTTGTCAGCTCTGCCCTTGTATCTTGCCCAGCACCCAGCCCGGTGTCCAGCAGATGATAGGCAAGCACCCCACCATATGGATGACAAATTGCTTGTGTCTGATGTGACCCAGCCATGGAGACTGCCTTTCACTGTCCCCTTTGTGAATGCCGTCCTTTTTGTCCTCTCCTCCTGACTTCTCTTCCTCTCCAAGCTCAGCTGGACTGCCCAGTAAACAGGAGTGTTGCTCCACGCCCTGTCACTGCTTTCTCCAGGTTTTCATAGTGAGAGAACTAAGTAAGAGTGGCTGTGGCAAGAGGGATTAAGGAAACAGTCCAAAACTCTAACAGACTGAAGTAAATTCCTCAGGGCATTTTAAGCATAGCCCTGAAGAAATGAATCCCACTGTACAGCCATTTGAAAGCCCAGTGTGTTTCCTGAGCTTCCCTATATGTATTAACTCTGATTTGGCCCAGTTGACATCCCTGGACCTACTGAGATGTGGAAATTCTCCATTCTTAAGATTTTCTCAGAAGGAATACCTATCAGTGAACTTATGCAAAACAAAATTGCCCCATCAAAATAAAATCTAGAGTTTAGAGTCTTCCATTGGGTAATAAGAGGTTTGGTGCTATTTTTTCCCAGTGCTGGAGTTTAAGATTTAGTTATTCATTATGTATACAGTGTTCTGCCTATATGCCAGAAGAGGCCACTAGATCTCATACTAGATGGTTGTGAACCACCATGTGATTGCTAGGAATTGAACTCAGGACCTCTGGGAAGAGCATCCAGTGCTCTTCTGAGCCATCTTCCTACGCAGCTCAGAGAACGGGGCCTGGGGAGCAGCTGTGGCCGCTCGCACACAGTGGCAGGATGTGATCTCTTCTGGCAAGAGGAAATGAAACCATTGGTAACTGACAGCGAAGCCTATCTGAAGGGCTAATGAGCTAAACAGCACCTGCAGTCGGGCTGGGTGGTAAGGGTGACTTCCAACAAGCAAAGCGAAGGAAGCTACAGATCTGTCATAGCCTTTCCTTGTAAATGACTTCAAGATTCGGATCCCAACATCAGGCTGAGGCTTGAGCACTGTAACTCCGACATACATTCTCCCAAACGGGAGTTGCTGCGTCCAAGAATAAAATGTGTGCTGGGCTGTCTCTCCTACTCCATGAGCCCCCATGCCGGAACATCTTTGCTATTTAGAAGTTTTGCTTCACACTTCTTTGTCCTCTTAGCTTTTTCCCTAGAAAAGCATAAAAGCAAAACTTCTGTTTTCAGTACCATTTTCTGATGTGTGAGCACTGATTCCCCTTCAGGGTAAGTACTTCAGTGTAAAGACAGTGTCTGTGAGGCAGCCCTGAAGTTGCTCCCCGTGCCTCTCACTTACCTGTGGGTACCCGGAAGTAGGTGTTTTGGAGTAACTGTGGGTACCTGGAAGTGGGACTTTCTGGAGTTGGCAGCAGAGGTGCTGATGAAAATTAAACGTTTTGTGACACAAAATATGTTTCATGCCTGTGCCTCATCCGCATACCCTTTCGGGGGCCTGGAATGGCTGTATATTTCCTAGCTAATGACTGAATGCAAAGACTTGAAGGGACTTACTGACCAAAGCGAGGAAGAGGATTCTGAGGTGCTGTGTGGATCTGGCCTGGCTTTAGTTTGGTGGGAACTGGATCCTGAGGACTCTTCCCAATGGCTGTCTCCCAGGTTAATTAGTGAAGTAGGGTGGTTTCCGCTGCTTTGGTGGCTGCTCCTTCTTTTAGAGACAACCCAGAACTGCCACCTCCATGTTTGTGTTTTCCAGTGCGCTAAGAGTCATATGATTCTGCTCAACACTGGGGAGTCCACTTAGCACTGAGTTCACACAGAACCCATGAAAGGTAACAGCAAACTTCCTCTAGCTGAAGTGAATTTATTTTTACTCATGTAGTGGCTGCTGCGGTTGTTAAGGGATCCTTCAGCCATGTGTAATGGAAGGGTTTTGGGCCTGTCGTCTGAAGATTCATGTTCTTTCACTTCAAGCCCCCATGGATTGAATTAATTGGGTAAGGTTTCAAAAAAAAAAAAAAAAGAACAAATAGAAAAAAAAAAAACACCTGCTCAGCTTGGCCTCTAGTGGAACACCATCCACATCTTCCAGGGGAAAAGGAATTAGACAGCCCAGCATTGCTGCAAAGGGCATGTGGGAAATAGTTTTCAGCTGGGCAATCATTTCTCAGAAACAACTGCACCACAGGCAAGAAGCCTGACTTTTTGCTTAGTTCAGTGGTTCTCAACCTTCTAATATTTCGACCCTTAATACAGTTCTTCATGTTGTGGTGACCTCCAACCATAAAATTATTTTCATTGCTACTTCATAACTAATTTTGCTACTGTTACGTAATGTAAATATCTGTGTTTCCTGATTGTCTCGTTGGCCGCTGTGAAAGGGTTGAAACTCACAGGTGGAGAACCAGGAGCATATCTAATTAATTATGTTACCACTTTGCTTATGTCCATAGGCTGAAACTGAGCATTGGGGAACAACCAGGTGTCAAGAATGGTTTTGTTTGCTTGCTTTGTTTTTAATTTGCGTGTGCACACACATTTGGTATGTGATGTGCAAACATTAAGGAGATTGAAAAATAACGTATTTTGTTTTCTTGTAGTGCTTTGGTTTGGTTTTTCCCAGTTTATGTTTTAGCCCTCTGTGTTTGACCCTCTGTATTTACATAACTTAATGCAATTGAAATACGTAAAAGGTGGT